CTCAGTCTGCTCTTCTGCAGAACAGGACAATAACATCTGCCCCAGTGACCAGGTGAGGATAATGAATGGCAAGCCTTAGTGAACACTTCAAGCCTGTGTTCTCCTGCCTGGTGCCCATTAGCATTTCCTGGGGAACAGCTACAATCACTAGTACCAGTGCCCCACCCTACAGATGCAAACTCTGTCAGCTCAGGGATGGTATTTTTGCAGTTTTCCGGTTGGTTCTAATGCACAATCTGGGCTGAGAACCGCTGCTGTAAGGGGTTCTTTCTCTACCTTGTATTCCTTCTTCACCGATGCATGCCAACACCCCAGAGAGAGCTTTCCACCCACCAGATGATTAATACATATATTCTTAAAGTCAAACACGTGTCTGTCGCAATGCCTGGCACCGTGAAACTCAAGAATCCTGCCTTTGTGGACAGGTTCCTGCCTCCCCCGTGGTTGCCCCTAGAGGGCGCCCTTGACTAGCTGGCTCTTGTCTGGGAAGCCCGGTCCATCAGCTACCAACCCCAAGACTGTCATCTCCCTGACCCCGGCCAGCAGCCTCAGAACCCTGAGAGGGAGCTGGGAGACACTGAAGTCCTTCCTCTCTTTCCCCTGAACCCCAGAACCTCCTGACTGTGCTGTTTCATTTTTCCCTGCCCCAGAATGTCGGCAGAGACACTCACAAGTCATGGTCTCTCCCACTGGGTCTCAGCCATGGAAATGGGTACAGCCGGGCACAGCTTAAAGGCACCACAGGCACCAGGTGACCCAAGCCAAGCCTCGATGAAGGACCCCAGGATCGAGCCCTGCAAGAATTCCACAAGGTAGTCATTCAACGCAGCATCTCTGATGCCCAAATGGAGCCTATTCTGTCTCCTGTTTCTGAGAATTCAGGGTCAAATGAAAGCCAGGAAAACACTTCAAGAGCTCGAGTGGAACTGCAAGGCCTACGATCTGGGCCCAGGGCACAGGGGTTAGGGAGACTTTCACGGAGAAGGGAGCATTTGAGTTGGGTCTTGAAGCCTGTGTAGGAGTTCACCGAGCAGAGAAACATGAAAGGGCATGGGGGCATTATTGAGGAAGAGTTCGGTATCACAGTCTTAGCCACATTTTACAGAGGACACTGAAACTCAGGGCATGCCTTGGTCATGGCCACACACCTGTGACTGGCTTGGTACTGAAGTCTGACTTCTGATTCTGTGCTTCTGCTCCCCACGAGGACCTCAGCAGTGGAGGCGAGTTTCTGAGAGTGGAGGCCCAGGGTAATGGTCTGTCAGGGTTGAAGGGAGGTCTGAGGAATGGGGGTGCACACAGGAAACCAACTACAGCAGAGCCCATGCTCCGAAGCCCCCTCACAGAGAGCCATGTCTGGGGCAGAGCTGGGCAGATGGTGCTGCAGATGCAGGACACCATAGCCTTCTCTTCCAGGGTGGACCTGGCAACAGGAGCCCCACAGAGGACCTGCCTCAGCTGGACAGGTAGAAAGAGACCTTCCTGGCTTGGCCAGGGCAAGGGGCTCTGGGGTGGGCCAACCAGAGCCTCCAGCCTCTGCCCACACCCCTCTCTTGAGCCAATCAACAAACAGGGCAGAAGCCAAGAGAGAAACGGAGGGGGCTTGGCACAGCTGGACAGGGCAGGGGTACTGCCCACCCGGAAGTAACCAAGGCCCAAGAGGCCAAAAAGCACCTGCACCCTGAAGTCAGGCAGCCCTGATCCCCGAAGGCTGGAGAGATGGATATTCAAACAGGTGGACACGTGACCTCTGGCCACTCCAGGAGAGCCGCCGGGAGCAGAGGCGCAGGGCGAGGATGGGACTCACCTGCTTCTGGCTCCAGGAAGCCCCGGGCTGAAAGAGGCCGCGGATCACCACAGAAGAGGCCAGAGCCCGCTCAAGCAGAGGCGAGGGCCGTCACCCTCGGCCTTGAGGAGAGCGCTGAGATCCCCAGGGGGCCCAGACCTCCATGGACTCTGCTGAGTGAGGCCAGCCAGGTGAGGACAGACCCACCCTGCCCCATTCCACCCGCCAGACCGGGGGAGGAGGAGGAAGTGCCCGGGGCCTGCACAGCCTGGCTGCCGTCACACACCTACCACGGCTCGGTGGCCGCAGTTCCTCATTTCAGATGGGCATCTGAGCTTGACAGCTGGGAGCAGATGTCGGCGATTTCTCATCCAGTTACTCATCTTGCAGACAAAGAAACGGAGGAAAGAGAGGGAGAACGACTTGCCTGGGGTCCCGAGGAGTCAGAGGTGGAGAAAGGCTGTCCGAGGTCACTGGCTGCTCCACTGGGTTTGGCGCTGCCGGGGCACAGTGGGAGGGAAAGAGGACAAGAAACCCTCGCCTCTCCTCCTCCTGGGCACTTACTGGGGGACAGGCAGGCCACAAAGTGCCTTTTAGGAATGGTGTCATCTCATTGTTGGTGCGTAGCCCTGGGGGATAGGTAGGGCTGTCCATCTGTCATACGTGGACAGACTTGGGGGAGGATGAACAAGGGCAAGTCAGAGAAAAAGTAAGCCACGCTGCCACTACGTCACATCAACAGGACCCCAAGACAGCGGCTTTAAATCGCCTTTGCAGGTGCACGCCTGTGATCCCAGTGGCTCAGGAGGCTGAGGCAGGAGGATGACAAGTTTAAAGCCAACCTTCAGAAATTCAGCGAGGCCCTAAGCAACTCAGTGAGACCCTGTCTCTAAATAAAATATAAAAAAGGACTGGGGATGCGGATCAGTGGTTAAACGCCCCTGGGTTCAATCCCTGGTACCAAAAACTTTTTTTTTTTTTTAATCACCTTTACCAGCCAGGCACAGTGGTACCCTCCTGTAATTCCAGTAACTTGGGAGGCTGGGGCAGGAAGATCACAAGTTCCAGGACAACCTGAGCCACTTACTGAGACCTTGTCTCAGAATGAAGAAGAAAAGGGCTGGGGATGGAGCTCAGTGATAAAGCACCCTGGGTTCCATCTCCAGTACCAAAAAAATTTTTTTTTAATTTAAAATTAAAATAAAATCTAGGGATATAGCTCTCAGGTACAGCACTTGCTTAGCACGTGTGATCCCCAGTACTCCAAAAAGAAAAAGAAATTGCCTTTACCTACCTCCCACCAGGTTGCCTGGCTCTGAGGGGTCTGTCCACCCCAGCCTAGAGCTACCCAACTTAGCAGACACAAATGTAGGACATTTGTTTAAATATGAATTACTCATAAAAAAAGGAATGATTTTTTAACCCAGGGCCTCACAAATGTTACGCATGTGCTCAAACACTGAGCTACACCCCTCAGGTGTTTTCCATTCTACAATGAAAAAGTCTTTAGTGTAAATATGTCCTGCATGATATAAATTCCTGATATAAACAGCCTCTTCTCTGTTGGCCCCTCTGTTCAGTGAATTGCTTCATCAGTCTCTGACCTGCTGCTACCATCTTCTAGAACCTGCCTTCTCAAACTGAAGTCTCAGGCCCAGTAGCATCCACACTATTTGGAAACTTGTTAGAAATACAAAGTCTTGGCCAGTTGTGGGGTCCCATGCCTGTAATCCCAGCCACTAGGGAGACTGAGGCAGGAAGATTGCCAATTTGAAGCCAGCCTGGGCAATTTAGCAAGACCCTGTCTCAAAATAAAAAGGGCCGTGGATGGAGTTCAATGGCAAAGAAAAAAAAAACAACAAAACAAAACAAAAAAATTCAAATGCAGAATCTTGGGCCCCCACCTGAGCCCTCCTTGATCAGA